TGCCGCATAAAATCGTTCAGTGGGGCCCGCTCTTAAAAGCTCAATGGGGGGTGCGCCCCGCAACTCCCCCGCTTTTTTGTAAATTGCAAACCCAAACCGTGCAAAGCGAAATCCACAAAAAGAACGTAAACAGACGCTTCTTCACAAAAAGAAGATGCCACTGAAAAAAAAATGCCCACGAAATTGCTTTTTCGGCTCAAACGCGAAAAACAGAATTGAAAACATGAAAATTTGAGACACATGATCGCCGCATGAAATCGTTCAAGAAATGCCCATTCTTCACGCCTGTTTCGCTCACGCGAAATCAGAAGAAATTCAAAGACATGAAAATTCAGAGACACACAAAGGCCGCCAAAATCGTTCCAGAGCCCGCTTTTGAAAAAACGCACAAATGTAAAATCAGAATCAAGATGAGGTTCGAAACCTAACTCAAATCCAGGTTTCAACCGAGGTTCCAATCCAGTTAAAAAGCCAGGTTCAACTCCAGGTTGGAAGCCAGGTTGAATCTGACGTTCAACCCAAGTTTGCCCAGGTTGCCGAATCTGATCTTGAAAAAGAAATAGTTTTTCAGGAACCTCGGTTCAATCTGGGTTCCTGCCCTCCCTGTGGAACCAGCAAGAGTTAAAGCAGCGCACATCTGTCGACCATCAGTTGGCACAACGCGGGTCTGTGTCGAAGATTTACTTTGGATCTGGAAGAGCTGCAGCAACACAGCTGTGCGACCCAATGAGATCGCGTGAATGGGAACGCTCCTTCATCCTCTGTGCACCCGTGCATCTGTAGGCGCGCTCAACTCCCACCGAGTTCAGTGGGCTTTCCTCAAGCAAGCGCGAATGCTTGCTGAGGGTTCTTCCAGAACGTACCTGTGCCTGAGAAAGGCATGGACTTTGACTGTTTGGACCAAACTCTGTTGGTCCCATGAGTCCGCCCACAGCTCAAATCTGGAAGTGTTCCAGCTGCTGCATCCACGCTGTTCGGCCACCGGTGCCGCCGACGCCCACTTTGGGTGCGGACCACTGCAACACACGCGGCTCCAAATGTGGAGTCGAACAATCTGAGAAACAGAGGGGGGAGAGTGCACCTGGGTCTTCGTGACAGCTGGTGGCCCTCATGAGGAATTCCTGGGTCCGTCGTAGCAGCTGGAATCCTCACCGCTTACGGCAGCCCCCTGTGGTGCCAAGATTAGCAAAATGGACAGACCCCCTGTCGTATCCAGATTCGACTGGTGAGCCTTATAAGTCCCGATTGGTTCCGGAACCCCGAAAGATTCATGCTTTCAAGATGCATCAAGCATGGCTTGATAAACAACAGAACACTGGCTGCGAGATGGATGACCATGTGTGTGTGTGTGTGTGTGTGTGGGTGGGTGTGGGTGTGGGTGGGTGGGTGGGTGGGTGTGTGTGTGGGTGTGTGTGTGGGTGTGTGTGTGGGTGTGTGTGTGGGTGTGTGTGGGGTGTGTGTGTGTGTGTGTGTGTGTGGGTGTGTGTGGGTGTGTGTGGGTGTGGGTGGTGTGGTGGGGGTGGGGGTGGGTGGGGGGCGGGGGTGGGGTGGGGTGGGTGGGTGGGTGGGTGTGGGTGTGTGGTGTGTGGGTGTGGGTGTGGGTGTGGGTGTGGGTGTGGGTGTGGGTGTGTGTGTGTGGGTGTGGGTGTGTGGGGGTGGGTGTGGGTGGGTGTGTGTGTGTGTGGGTGTGTGTGTGTGGTGTGTGTGTGTGTGTGTGTTTGTGTTTGTGTGTTTGTGTGTTTGTGTGTTTGTGTGTGTGTGTGTGTGTGTGTGTGTGTGTGTGTGTGTGTGTGTGTGTGTGTGTGTGTGTGTGTGTGTGTGTGTGTGTGTGTGGTGTGTGTGTGTGTGTGTGTGTGTGGTGTGTGTGTGTGTGTGTGGTGTGTGTGTGGGTGTGTGTGTGGGTGTGTGTGGGTGTGTGTGGTGTGCGTGGTGTGGTGTGTGGGGTGTGTGTGGGTGTGGGGTGTGGGGTGGGGTGTGGGTGTGCGTGTGCGTGTGCGTGTGCGTGTGCGTGTGCGTGTGCGTGTGCGTGTGGGTGTGGGTGTGCGTGTGGGTGTGGGTGTGCGTGTGCGTGTGCGTGTGCGTGTGCGTGTGGGTGTGGGTGTGGGTGTGGGTGTGGGTGTGGGTGTGGGTGTGGGTGTGTGGGTGTGGGTGTGGGTGTGGGTGTGGGTGTGGGTGTGGGTGTGGGTGTGGTGTGGGTGTGTGTGGGTGTGGGTGTGTGTGTGTGGTGTGTGGTGTGGGTGTGTGTGTGCGTGTGTGTGTGGTGTGGTGTGGGTGTGGGTGTGGGATGGTGTGGGTGTGTGTGTGTGTGTGTGTGTGTGTGTGTGTGTGTGTGTGTGTGTGTGTGTGTGTCTGTCTGTGTGTGTGTGTGTGTGTGTTTTTGCTTTGGTTCCGCTTGCATCAGTTCACTATTGCTTGCTAGTTCCGCTTGCATCAGGTCACTATTGCTTGCTAGTCGGGCAGAGGGAGATGCACAAACATTTACAGCCACAGATGCTATCCTTCATAAGGAAACAATGACGAGCACACAAGCTAAAGCGACGAGATAAGACTATGCTGTTTGCTTGGTTACGTACATGCGAGCGACTTTTCGTGTTTCGTAACAGCCGCTGATTAAGCGGACTACGGCAGCGTATGCATCGGTAAAGAAACGAATGATCAACAACTCGTCGTACAGAATCACATACAGCTATAGCTAAGTGGGCACCTGAGCGCTGTGGCTGATACCTAGATATAGCCTGATACAGCTATGTATGTGTATAATACCATACATGTGCTTGTGTTGGACCAAGGCATATCTATGGGCCTATGCGTGTATCTGCGTACTTGCCTATCTGTGCTTCGGGATAACTGCACAAATTTACGAGAGTGTGCGGCTAGAAATAGGCAGAGGGACGGCTAGCTGCATCCCGTGTCGTTAAATTCATGAGAGAAATAAATGTTCAAACTTTCTCGAGGAAGTGCCAAAAACTGGAAGTACAGTAAGAAAGTTGACACGGGACTGACGCCGTTTCCTTGTCTTGGTTAGGTTCATGAGCACCAGGGCTCCAACTTTATCATAGCACTTGCTACACTCAAGTACATACACAGTCTTTAACATATGCATGTAGCTGGAGCAGTTCAGGACATGTCCTAGTATGGAAATGAAAGAGCAAGACAGGCGGTGCTGCTGCTGAAACTGCACAGTTCAGCGAATAACACGTTGGAGACCGTTCAATGTTTTTCAAACCAGTTTTAAACTTCCTGTAGAGCAGAAAGAAAGCCAACAATGCAACGGCGGGAAAGGAAAGAAACCCAAAACAAAAAGATCAACACCCAATGCCCCATGGAACCCAAAAGATGAAATCAAAACATTCCTGAACTCAATGTCTGCAGCCTTGTTGGCTATAGACTCAAACTAGTGGCAGTTGTGTGCTTGTGGTTGTTGGCTGTGGTGTTGTGACAAGGCGGTGATGGTTGTTTTCGCATGGCGTTCTGTGATTGCTGTTCTTCGTCGATCTTTGCTTCTCGGTGCTGTGTGTTTGTGCATGTTGTGTTGTGTGTTGCAGCGCGGTGTGGCTGTTGAATTGTTTTTTTCGGTGCTGGTGATACTCTTAGTCATGTGCACATATCGGACCGCATATTTGTTCTCCTTGCATTATTGACTCGTCAGTCCTAAGTTAAAAGTTAATCCTTAGGACATGCATGAACGGAGTCTCGCCCTCGTCTCGGAATAGAAACACGTCGGTCAATAGGACTCAATGCGGGGGGGTACCATGTATATGTCACATATATACCTACATAATCATACATACATAAACACATACGTAGCGTGTAGGACGCGGCGCACCCTGCGTGGTGCAAGGGGAGCCATTGCATCCGGGCGCCAAGCTCTGCATATCTTGTGTCATAGCCTGAGCTTGGATGAACTCACGGCGTACACCTGTTCGGAAGTTGCTGAGGTCTGCGCCACCCACACTCAACTCTCCACCCCATTCTGCCAGGCAGATGGCAAAGACCTCGAATAATGTAGATGAACACACAAACTGGTAGCTCCGCATTGCACAAGCCGCAATGTGCTGCTGAACTTGCAAGACTCAGCGCATGAACTGCAGTGTTGACATGGGCTTTGTCTTTGAAAAGATCCTGCTCGCAGCAGACCGTAGAGACATGTCGAGACCAGAGACACATTCACATGCGACTCCTTCAGCACATTGGACCTTCCAGTAATGCCATGGGGTGCCAAGCCAAAGATGCCGTTCACCTTCGAAGTCTTACCAGCGATCAATCAGTCTGATTGCATCAGCGGCAGGTACTTTCAGCGACTGCCTTCATTTGTGGCATCAGTCACTGGACGCTGCTGGTATCTTGCCAACCCGATACGATGTTGCTTCCATTGATCCGTGCCATTACTGAGTGAGATGATTGGTCGGAGCTTGGCTTGTCACAGCAGCAGAGCAGCCAAGTAACGACTACATTAAAGCCCACAACATCTCCACTAGTGATACTTCGACTTCATGCGGCGCACTCCCACCTTCTGGGTGTAGAAAAGCTTCCGCCTGCACTGACTGATGTGCGATGTGTGGTCCCGATCTGCAGAAGGAAACAAACACGATGCGCCAAGCTTCCGGCTCATCCAGATGGCAACCCAAGGAGGCTTCAACCGGGTGGTTGTCGGCATCAGACTCAGAGATGCAGCAGGTCGGCGAGCCAAGAGTCATGCAGCATGTAGTTGACAGCTCTTTTCCGAATGCCAGACAGTGTTGCGACATCGCTGAAGCTTCCTGAAGGACAAAGTCGGATCCTTCGAGTATAACGAGACGCAGCTTGCTCTGCGCCAAATGCTCTTTCATGCCGGTCATCAAGTGCGCGTCTATGGGCAGGTGACATGAGCAAGCTTGCGGCGCTGGGAAAACTGCGTTAAAGACGTTATTGTCTGACTCTTGTCAGGCTACCTGCCTTTTCATCTACATGCTTCTCAACCTTCATCTGAATGTACTGCAACTTCAGCCAACACAGCATGTTTATGCATCCTTGCCTGCTCCTAGTGCCAACCTTTCACTGCCCCCCTCAATGGCCTTCATGTTGGCAAGGTCCTCCTCGGACACAAAGTAGTCCTCACCCTCGTCATCATCAATTTCTTCTTCGATTGGAGGAAGCTCCTTCATCATGTGAGTCACACCTTCAGCGTCGGTGTCGCCGACTGCAGCATATCCCACCGATTCATAGAGCAATCTAGCAGGTTTGTACTCGTCAATGTGCAAGTACATCTTGCTGTCTTTCCAAATGTATCTGACCACATCCTCCGCCACTCTGAGTAATGCTTTTCCAATACCTGACCGTCGGAAGGGAGGAGCGACACAAAGATTGCTCAAGTATGGTTGCTTGGTGACTCCCTCAGGGAGGCTCTCATCATCATCTTCAGGTCGACGGCCATCGTTCGCAAGGACACAAAGCTCCACATAAGCAACCAAGGGGCCCTGCTTTGCTCGGGCCACCAGTGCCATGCTCTCGTCCTGTTTAACCGGACGGCGGAGGTTTTGATATTGCAGGGATACGTCAAGTCGCATCTGCATCCCCTTGGCAATCTTGTCGGTCTCGTCAGCGTCAATGAAGGCGTTCGCATACTCTGCGAAGGGGTTAGATTCATCCCAGCGCTTCTTGGCGAGCATGCGATCGAAAGAGTCGACCATCAAAGCTGTCATCTCTTCGAGGTCACTCATATCGGGCATGCCCACCTCGAGATCGGCCTCTTCTAACCGCTGAAGCGTCTCCGTATCTATTTTCTGCATCAGACCTTCGCCTGTAGGTATGCGGGAGAGGGTTATAGCCGATGCGGAGATGCGCCGCAACTTCCTCCCTGGCGTCCCCGTAGGCGATCTTGCTACAGACCCGACGAAGCCCAGCGGCAAGCAGACCAAACTTGCCAGGCCGAACAAAACCACATGGAAATTCCGTCTGCGCTGGAAGTCCATGGCGTCCAAAGGAAAGACTTCTCTTTTAGAGCTCACTTCTGCGCTTCTTGCAAGCTTCTGAATGACTGCATACTTTACATGGGCTAGGTGTAACACACAGAACGAATGTCGATTCTCAGAAATAGCTTTGCACACAGTTGCGTTACTGCACCGGCTGGTGCAGGGTGCGTCGCCAGCTGGTGCCACAGATTGCCACAGATTCGCAGCAAGTGAAGCAGCTACACAGAAGGTCTGATCTGCATGGCATGCTGAGTGCCGATCACCGTTTAGCATCACGAGGTCACGGAACCAGATGCCAGAAATACTGCTTCCTGCTGTAGGGGAGGGGGCAGACACGACTATAGAGCATGGGCTAACTCTGTGGCGCTGAACAACTCTGAATCCTTCAGAGTAGGATTGCAGGTACCCACACCGAGCTGCATCACAACGGTTGCAGTCTGGACCTGCGCTCGGCGCAGGGCACATACTCATTGCAGCTCAGGCTGCGCACCACATGGCAACGTTCTGGATGTGTTTGAGGCCTCGCGAAGCCAGAGAGCAGACGGATGCGGAATTGGGGAGCGCCGGCACACGGCCTCCATGTCAAAAGGCGGATCGAGATGATTTCCGCAGTGGCCTGGCAAGAACGCATGGAAGCTTTTCATAACGGCTTGCTAGCAAAACTGCCGGATCGACTACAGCCGGCACATGGGAAACCTCGTCTTCTCACATCGACACCGTGTAGTGATCTCTACATCGACACAAGCTGGTCTGTCTGCTCACGGAAACGGAGCGTCCCTGAAAGTCAGGGTCGCTGACAGTCCATCAAGAACCGGGGATGCGACCACAGAGTGCACTACCGGTGTCAACTATGACCTGAGCTCAAACCGTCGGTTCGCCCTGCAAGTAGCTGCGGCTAAGACAAGTCTGTTTGATGTATTGTTTCACCGTTTGACTCGCATGCGCTGGTTACAAAAGAAAAAAGCTAATGCATTTTGCAGACGCTCTCCGTGTCGGAGGAGGTTTAACCGTGGTGTTTCAATGTGCACGGAGCACAAGCTCCGTGGCACAGCTGACTGTCCTGGTATGATTGCAATTATTCTTGTTGAAGCAGAGCGACGACACTTTTCCTGAGAGGTTGAGCCCTGCTCGAAGACTAAGGTGGCACTAGAAATTGCGGGGATTCAGCTAAGGCTCTCACCGATGCTGATTGAGGTGGCGTTCCCACAAGCAGCTCCTAACACTGTTGGATTCTGACAAGCATTCTGGGAGATCCTGAAGCTCTGCTGAGGCGGCAGCTGCGAAAAAGTATGCATATGCATTGATGTTGCCGAAGAGCTTTGTTCGCTCAACCTGTCTCCGAGCCGAGAACACCCGTGGAGGGTGCACTGCTGCCTCTATTGCAACAGCAGCACGTGCAACAACTCACACAGTCGCTGAGAAAGCTAAGACACTCCATTGTCTGGAGCGGCTGCTGCACAGAAACTCCTTGCACGACTAATTGCAGACATACAGGTTTTCCAAACGCAAGGAGCGCAGGGCAGCTACCTGATGCCCACCAGCAACAGGACTTGCACCTGGCAAGCGACAAGTTTCTCTCCGACCTTCTGGAGCGGGGCCACAGCAACAGACGATCAGCTTCAGACAACTTTCTGTGCCATTCCATGTCGCGACCCGTCTGCAACACCTATTTCCTCTTCAGTTTCTGGGTTTCTGGACTACTTGGAGGAGGATGCTCAGTTGGGCAAGAGGATTGTCGGCGGCTCTGCTCAAGCAAGCTCGATCATGAGAAAGTCTTTCACGCTCAGGGATTTGATCGACCCTTCCTTGCTTGAGGTGCGTCTCAATTGCAGCATCTTAGAATCTTCAATAAATTCCAGCATGCACGCGGCCTGGAACCGTTCAAGCCCAGCACGATAGGCAGGTCACAGGATTGCTGCACAAAGGTCCATCACTGGTCCAATCATACCAGGCTATACATCGGCTGCCCGTGCCCTCCAGGCAGGTCAACCAAAAGCTGGCTCCGCTTTGAGCTTCGCCTCGTCCGGCTGTGGAAATCATTGGCCAGGAAGAGGCAGAAGCACGGCACATGCGAAGGTGTCGAGATTCGAAAAAAACAGCGCAAAATACAGATGGAGGGGTGGAGATTGTACTGCGTTTACTTGCATCGACACACGTCGCATGCACATCCAGGTCTGTCGCAGAAAAACGATATGAATAATTACACCCGCTATGACCTGAAGGTGCACGGAAAATCACTCTAAAAACATCTAGACGACGTCACCGAGTGAAAAGAACAATGCTCGAGAAGCATCTGTCAAAATGCGACTGCCGGAGACGTGTGTTGATAAGCCTTCAAGAGATGTGCCAGCTGTCCTGGAGCCTGCGGCTTCCGAGAAGTCGAGAGTCTCGAGAGCTGACAGCAGCTGTGTGCATCGCACTTTTGTCGGCTCGCAAATTAGTTGGCACTGTGCCATTTGGCACGCGCTGCCGCGCTGCGCGCTTCCGCGCTGCGTCCCGCTCACTGCAGCTCTGATGCGAATCAGGCAAGTCTTTTGCTGCAGCCGCGCGTGGGCAGGCATCTCGCAGTGGCCCAAGCTTTCGGGCTCTCATCTTTACGGCGAACCATCTCCTGCAGATAATTTCTTCGCAGAGTGCTACCCGGCCTGAAAGCACTGCCTCGCAGAACTCGATCATGAGCCTTTCTCGCCTGGATGCTCAACATGGACCCTATGTTATGTCATGTCGATTGGCGAGCCTTGATGCTCAAGATCAATGACTTGCCTTGCAGGCAGATGCTTAGACCGGACCCTTCGGAGCCTCTTGCTCTGGGCCCGGGGGCAGCTCTGGCAGTGTCTCGAGTAAGCTCTACACGCTGGCTGGTGTTCAGCTCGAACTGGGCCCATCGCCTCTCGCACAGTGCCAACTAAGCTGAAGGCTTGAAAGCTGTGAAGGAATTGCGGCACTGGACCTCGGAAAGGACTCTGTGGATTTCACCATCTCTTCGAGGACTTCCGTCTGGCCGAGCTGCGCATTGCCACTTGCGACATGAATCCGGGTCATGCCATGCCTGTCTCTTCAACACTTCATCAATTTCTCTCCTCATGTCTTCACTCCTGAGATGTTACCGTGTGAATACGCGGATTGGCAAAGTTGAGCTTTGAGCTTGGGGCCCAGGGTCCCCTGCGAGATCATCTGCGCTCTTGACTTGCTCCTTCAGAGCAGCCTCGAGTGACGTGGCGCTCCATGCATCAATAGAAACAGGAACCGTCACCGAGCTTCAGTCCAGCCCACGCAGCACCGTCGCAACTTCCTCCTTTAGTCTCTGGGCTTGTGCCTCGCAGTTTGTTGTGTAGTTCTCAGACCCCAGGACATGCAGCGATGCGCAAGAATCCTTGCTGCCTCCGTGCGAGAGATTCGTCTCTCCAACGAACTTAGAAAGGCTGAAAGAAACGCGGGCACAGCTCGCAGCGGCATTGAGGCCCGGACTCCGGCTCTTGTGCCCAACCATCAGCCGACAAGTCCATTGCGCAGGGACTAAGAGGTCACACAGAGTACGACAATGCGATGCCGTAGGCTAAGTGCTGCAAAGTAAGTGTGCTTGCCGGGCGATTGAAGTCTGGGCTGAGGCCGAAAGCTGCGAGCTTTGGGCTTCCAGGTGCTCAGGCTGCGGAATCTTGCGCTGGAACAACAGAGAAGTCTTGAGAGCTCCTCGCTGGTCTTCAAGATGCGTCGGGGGTCGGAGGTGAAAGATCCTCGGGTGGTAAGTCGACCTAATACCAGCGACCAGAACCAACTGACAAACAACCGGAAAGGCTGTCAGGGCACAGGCAGTGCGGGCCTTAGCAGGGCTGAAGGATGACTTCACTCATGCGAGCACAGGCCGACAGCATGGAAAATGAACCCTATCTGGGAATATGGCCTTCTTCGCATCGGGCTCAACTTTCTCAGCAGCGCCCGACCTTCAGAAGAGATAGTCGTCCTATTCAACCACAACACCAACAGCTAAACCACCACCCCCGACCACCAACCGACCCAGTCTCACACATATACACGCACACGCACACACACACACACACACACACATTCAGGATTCTCATGCAGCAACTCCTAGCGAACTCAATTCTGTGAAGAAACCTGCAAGGAGCTGTGAGGAGTGTCTTGCGCATTGGCAGCCTTGCTAGACGAAGTGGCGGTCTGCAGCTAATCTGTGCGCATAGATACGTGCATGGACAAGTAGGGCTGTGAGCGCAGGGAGTCTCGAGGACTTTAGAAGCCCAAGCTACGCGCGCGAGCGGTCCAGTTGGGATCTTGTGGAGGCACTGTGAGACTGTGAGTTCGAAGTAATCGCCTGTTGTGAGTGCCGTGGATTCCGGCCCGTATGTGACCTATACATGCGCCTGCAAACACTATCTGAGACTATCTGGGAAGCAGCACATCCGGATACCGGACCGAGATCCTTGTGAGATTAGACTTCTTGTGGGCACTTTGAGCGCGTCCTACAACTCATAACGGTTGTAACGAATATCAGAGGAGAAACATCGTGCCGCTACGAGATTCCGAAAATGAATGAAAAGCCATACGAAAATCTATTCACCGGTGAGCTCGTTCTTCCTTGCTTGGCACAGGTACGGACATGCGCACTCCCACTCCCAGCAGTGACAGAAGGGAGTGTCTGAGCCGCAGTGGTTTTTGTTCGGTCAACTCAGTGTTCACAACTTCATCAGGTCAGAACTGCCTCTGTATTTCAGCGTGCTACCACAATGTCCAGAAGCTGCCCGGCTGGGGCATGAGCGATTGGGATGCAGTCTTGTAGCTCTCACCGTAGGCCTGCAGGTGCTCACTGACCTACAACGATTGCAGCTCCTTGGCTCTGCAGATCAGCCTGCACATGAACGCCTGCAACTGCCTTAGCCAAGCCCAAAACGAGGCTGTCAAGTCATCAAGGGCTGAGGAAAGTCGGTCGATGTCACGTCGTGCACATTGGCAGCGTGTTCGCATGCGCGATGGCAGAACTTGGGCGTTGGCACGGCCAGATGCATCTGCACGGCCCTGAAATGCTTTGTCCCACTTCAGCGCAACCTGCGTGAGATTCCGGTTGCCAGAATGAGAACCGTCGACACTAGGCAGCTATGCTGCAACTCGTTCGGGACCTTGTAGCTCTCAGTCAGCACGGGCTGTACTGGTAGCTATATGACTCTTGCAGCATGGGCATGGGCGATTTACTAAGTCCATGATAGAAGGAGCTTCGGTGCGCAAGCTGGAAAGTAAAGCAGAATCTGAGCTTGATCGCTGTGATAAGATAAGAATGACTGGCCTAGCCACCTGGCTTGGACACTATCACTAGCAGTGCTACTGGTACTTCCCAGGCTGCGCCTCGCTGGAGCATGCGATCGAATCTTGCCAACCCACCTTCACAGCCGCCACAAAGAACGGCCCCGCGGCCCCGCGGCACACTTGAAGAGGCCGAGTCTCGGCCCTCGGGCCCATGCACATCCAGCGGCTGCCGAGTTCTCACCGTAGTGCTTGGCAAAGAGTTGCCGGAACAAGTATGCCTCGGTTCGGGGTAGGCAGGTTTGGCAGAAAAATCCCTTGTATATCAAGCTCTTGGCCTCCTTTGTACGTGGGGTTTTCACCGGAAATCCTTGGCAGTCATGCCAAGAACTGAACCGAAGCACGCCAGGACCCAGGATGGCTCTATCCGTGCTTCTGAGCGACTGTGAGGCGCGGTTGCCATCTGCCTGATCTCAGTCTTCGTTCGCTTCGGCGTACAAAAAACACTTCAGTCGAGGGGCTGATCAGTGATCATCTTCTCCGCATGGGCCTTGCGGCAAGGACTGACAGGCCGCAGGTCACCGGCTATACTGGCACCTTGATGGAATCAATCCAGCTGTAGCCGACGCCGTCGCTAAACTGCTCCTGGTGCAGACTTCTGGACTTGAGACGGCGGTTACCAAGCTACAGGAAGGAATGAAGGAGAAAAAAAAATACAGCCAGCCACCCAGGAGACTACATCGCCCTTCCTTCTGTCGCCAGAGAACTTCCTGTGGCAAGTAAGCCCGTTCACTTGGCAAGTCGAAGGCCTGACCAGAACATGGAGAGACGCAAGGATCTTCTAGACGTTTGTTTGCAGAAACATGCCTTCCGAAGAATCCACTTCTCAGTGCGAGGCTTGCCAGCCTTGGCTGTCAAAGATGGGAAGCGGCAGACGTCTGAAGTCATGACTCTCATGGTGAATGCGAACCCTTTCGCGCACCAAAATGTAAATCGGAGTCAGAGCCATCGCAAGCCAAGCAACCGAGTCTTTGCACATTTTCTGAACGGGGTTGAAGCCCATGGCAGCCTTTGGCAAGCGAAGTGCTTCGAAGAATGCCACCAATGGCCAGCCGCTGACAGGTGCCAAAGGCCAGGCCTCCATGAACTTCCTGTCCAGGAAGGGTACTCGAGCCTGTCAAACTGGGCTGCTGCGCGCAGATGCTCGCAGCCTGTGCAGGGTGTTCGATGCCTCGACGCCCCATGCCATCATCGCCTTGTTGGCTCGCAGGCAGTCGTAGAGGTGCAGCTGCGAGATCTCAGGGCCAAAGGATGCGAAGGGAGAGCAGGGGGAGATAGATGTGGCTCGGATTGTTGGGAGGGCAAGGCCAGGGCCTCTCCCGCTAGCCCTGTGACGGATCTATGCCCACGCACGACTCCCACTTCCCTCTTGTCTCGGCCCAAAAGGCGAATCAAGCACTCCGATGTTTTGCCTGTTTCGGAACCGAAGTCGTCTGTGGAAAGCCCGATAAGCTTACGTGAGATCGGGGGTTGACAGATATCCCGACAGGGGTGTCTTGGCTTTCCTGTTCACTCACTGCTTCGTTGCTTGCTGCTGGCTAGTACAAGAGCCAGCACGCCTACCGGCATGGACGCACAAATTCACAAGGGCCTGTAAGATCACACACACACACACACACACACACGTTACGCCCACTCGAAGTCTCTGCATCTAATGCGGGGAGGCGAGGCGGCGAGGCCTTTCTGCAGTTCTCGGCATGGAACTCTTCGGCGTTCGGTGCTTTGTGGAAGTAGAGGTAGCCTGCAGGAGACTCTGAACCGGCAGCAGGCTACTCAGTGGCATCGCATCTTTCCATCCATGTTATGAAGCTTGCAGAAGGACCAAAGAACCTCCAAAAATCTCGTCCGCGCCCTCGCCACTGAGGACCATTTTCACGCCCGAAGCCCTGCACTCCGCTGACGGCAGTTATGAGGGAGAAATCAAAGAAATCTGAACAAGTCAAGAAGGACTATCAGCAGCACAGCTGCTGCGGATCAAACTGCGACGCCTGATCCTGCGAGCCATGAGGTACATTGGTGTGGATGCACGCACAGTGGTGACGTCGAAGGTCTCCAAATGGTAAATCACCTGCAAGTGAGGAACTGCCAAGAGCACACGGGGAGACAGTCTTAAGCTCCGTGCATCCGGCAGTGCGTCCAGGGCTTCCTCGACTGTGAAGACGTACTCGTGATGCACAGTCCCGAGGAAGGAAGCAACCTGCGAGCTGTGAACTTGCATTACTTTCACTTCACCTTCGACACTTCATTCACACTGCAAAGCTAAGACATAAGCCATGCAAAGCTAAGCTATCCAAAGAATGCTCTGCAACGACCCCGCCGACCTCCTTTGCAGCTTTCAGGTCTGGGCCTGGCGGTGGCAGTGCATTGCCATCGACTCTCACGGCAGCATTTTTGGTGAGGCTCCGACTGCCTTTCAGCCCAGTGCTGAATGAGTGCAACTGTGGCCAGGACGCAGGTCCGTGTTCGCACTTCCTCCGTGTCAACTCAAAGCAAGTAATCGGTAATCGTGCTTTCGCACAGAGTTTGTTCGGTAGTCAACCCACCTTCGGCTGTTCTTCGACATGATGGACGCCACCAGCGAGGAGTCCAGCCCACCGCTCAGCAGCACCCCGTAGGGCACATCGGACTGACGAGCACAGCACAACAACGAGAGCCAGACAGGTCGGTTTCTGCCAGAAGATAGACTTACCGGCGGACCATCATGTGCGAGATGACCGCATTCTCAAACGCTTCCCGGAGAACTGACAGCGCCATCTCCTTCTTATGGTAACGAATATCGAAACTCGGTTGTCTGTACGTTTGGCAAAGCACACAACAAGTCCTCTGTCGGGACGGACGTGGGTGAATGCCAGATCGGTGTGTAGAACAACCGCCTCTGCCCCTGGCAAGGGCACCATGATTGCAATGTTTTCAATATCGGTGCTCCAAGAACATGTATGGTCAAACTAATGTACCATTCGAGCAGTCAGCTCAGGGACAGCTCAGCTTGAAGGACATGTGAGATCCAGATTTCAAGCACGTCGGCTGCACCGAAGCAGAATCAAAAACATGTCCAGGTGGAAACTCTTCATATCGCTCGCAGGTCTGACAGGGATCTCAGATATGGACGAATTTGTCGTTCAGCCTCTGCGCACCCGATTTCTTTCTTGTACCAGCAAACAAGGCAGTGCATGTCAGCACCTTGCTGATTAAGCAGTTCCGCGGTCAGCCAGCACGAATGTTCATACTTTTATGACGCAGCAGTGTGACTTGCACGTCCGCTGGCCGTTGTCATTTGACAGCGGCGTGATCCTCAAATTTGCCGCGGCATTTCCGCAACATGCGCAGCAACCAACACTGACAGTCATCCGACAGGAGTTTGTGTGTTCCTGTTTCTCCGTCCCTCCCATTTCTTGCCCTCTCTCTCTCTCTCTCTCTCTCACTCTCACTCTCACTCTCACTCCCTCTGTCTCTCTCTCTCTCTCTCTCTCTCTCGCGCATGGAGGATAATCAGATCCCCCAGCTTCGAGCCCACCCGTTCTTCTGGAACGGTTCTGTCACTCGCTGTCTCTCTCCCACTCGCTGTCTTTGTGACTCTTTTCTTTCGCCAGAGCTGGGGTGGGGGTGAACCCAAAGCAAAAAACTCTCCCTCTCTCTCCCTCTCTTGCTTTCTCTTCTCTCTCTCTCTCACTCTCTCTCTCTCTCTCTCTCTCACTCTCTCTCTCTCTCTTGTTTGCATACGGACAAGGGGGCAAGCCCCCAGCACGCAGGCGCGCACCGAGCGTTCGAGTTCTCTCTCTCTCTCTCTCTCTCTCTCTCTCTCTCCCTTTCACCAGGTGCCTCTCTCTCTCGCTCTGTCTCTTTCTCCCGCTTCTTTCCCCGGGTCAACCGCCACGCAATTGGACCCCAACCGTCGCGTCTTCTTTCGCGAGGTGTCACTGTCGTGTCTTCCTCTTTTCTTTCTGCCGGGCTTAGGGGTCACGGTTGTGACCCTCAGGCTTTCAGCCCGCCTGTCCACCCCTTCCGCTATTGAGTGGACGGCTTTGGGGTGCCACTGACCGCTGCTCTAGCTACTCTCTCTCTCTCTCTCTCTCTTGCTTTCTGTTCTGCGGGCTTTTAGAGGGGTGTAAAAGCTTGGATGGGTGGGTGACTGAAACCGGCTTCTCTCTCTCTCTCTCTGGCAATCTCTGCCTGCCTGTGTCTCGCTCGCTCGGAATCCACCATGTTGGTGTGATGGGCTGGGCTGCACAATGACTCTGTTTCTTTGTCTCTCTGCCTGCTTGCCTGCCTGCCTGCCTGCATGCCTGGCGGCTGCCCGTCCGTCCGTGAGACGGTCATACTGTCAGATTGTATATCTGCGTCTGTCGGTCGGCCGGTTGGTCGGTCGGTCTGTCCCTACTGTCTGCGTCCGCATCTGCTTCTGCGTCTAGGCCTGAATCTGTGTCTGTCTGCGTCCGTGTCGGTGTCCGTGTCGCCATGCAGAGACACGCGACCTACACTGACCTACACTTGTGCTGGCAACGACTGATTCGCTTTGCGAATCAGTCCACTACTCTTTCATCTGACTCGGCCAACGTTTGACGAACGCACAGATAGTATTTGCTTATTTTTGCATGATCTCATGATTGTTTGGCATGTACTGCCCGGATCTGCCCGGAGCAGCAATGAAAACCGGGCCGTGGAGCTGCACATGACGAAGCATGACAGTCCCAGACAGTACCATACACGATGGACCGATGTCAGCAAGACAGAATTCAAGAGGATGTGCGTGTGGAATCCCTGCATGACCTTTTGCAGGCTATGATGATCTCAACCTCTTGCTCTAGGATCTTCATTGGGGCAGCGGACCAAGCCCACTGCCCTGATACAAGTTACTAGTCCTCTTCTGTGCAGACGCTGCCCTCCATGCCGTCAGTGGACCGCCTGACTGCAAGTTCACGGGTCTGGAATCGTCTCGCAGTTGAGGCACGACACGGTAAGTCTCATCCAACTGATGGCCTTCATGTCAGGCATTGGAGTGGTCCCCTCTCAGCAACCTCTTCACAAACTAGTTTGTGGATTTTGAGTAGGGTGATGCCCAAAGAACATGCCAGCCGCGCACACCAAATACAGACGCGGCCATCATAGCACCTGAGAGCTGTTTTGACTGCGACAAAAAAGCCTCAATTTCGCCTGGTCGTTGCACACAAGTCTGATGTGCCAGGGGAAATGCGATCACGAGTTGCCGCCGAAATTTCCTGGCATGACAAGGACAGCTGCGGCTGTACGGCAAACCGCAGTGCTGTAAAGAGCGTGGCTGAGGCACTGAGACGACTTGAGAAGTTCGCGAAGCACGGCCAGGATGAAGTGGCATCATCGGACCTTGGTTTGTGAATCTTCTAGAGGCCACACGACGAACTAATTTCAGAACTGTGCCGCTAAGGAACTGCTGCCTGTTCCATGATCGGTGTGGGGAATGACCTCACTACCCCAAGTGGACATCACGGTCTCACTGCTTCGAGTGACCCTCAGCTTGTTGAGTGCACGCCATGCCGCATTGGGAACTTCCAGTAGGCCCGCCACTATGTTGCCGTGTAGAAGCGAGGACAAAACGTCATCAAATCGTCCAGGCTCCACGACGGTACTGACCTGACAGCTCGCAGCTAAGACAGGAGAGACCTCGAAGCATCTGCCAACGGCCCGGCAGCGTCAGCTGATCGCTGGGTTTGGAACATCTGGCCTACGAGCCAAGGCCACGTTCGCCAAAGCTCACATGGATGCTACAATCATGTCTTGGAAGATTCGACGCTACATGTTTCATGCGATTTGCTGAAACATATATTGAAGTTACAATCGTCACCTCGTTCTCTAGGAGGTTTACTGAAATGCATACGGAAAGTATATCACGGTTTGGCTTTGTCGTGGTTGTCCAGGTTTCTTCCGGTGTTTGCCGCAGGGACTTCTCGCATCAATGTGGTAGTACTAGCCGCGAAAGTGCCGGCAGGCTTTGTTGCTTTTCCCCACAACCGGACCAGAGCGACAGGCTCATGGATACAAGCGGTAAGAGTGTTTTTTTTTTTGCTGTCGTGGCTTTTTTGCTGTCGTGGCGGGGCGCGTTTTTTTTTTTTTGCTGTCGTGGCGGGGGGCGCGTTTTTTTTTTTGCTGTCGTGCGGGGGCGCGTTTTTTTTTTTGCTGTCGTGGCGGGGGCGCGTTTTTTTTTTGCTGTCGTCCCTGCGGGCGCGTTTTTTTTTTGCTGTCGTCCCTGCGGGGCGCGTTTTTTTTTTGCTGTCGTCCCTGCGGGGCGCGTTTTTTTTTTGCTGTCGTCCCTGCGGGGCGCGTTTTTTTTTTTTGCTGTCGTCCCTGCGGGGCGCGTTTTTTTTTTGCTGTCGTCCCTGCGGGCCGTTTTTTTTTTTGGCTCTGTCCCTGCGGGCGCGTTGTTTTTTTGGCTGTCGTGCCTGCGGGGCGCGGTTTTTTTTCGCTGTCGTTGCGCTCCCCGGGCGCTTGTTTATTATCATCATGGTTATTACTACTACTACTACTATTACTATACTACTACTACCACTACAACAGCAACAACTACTACTACTACTACTACGACGACGACGACTACTACTACTACTAGCACTACTACTACTACTACTACTACTACTACTACTACTACTACTACTACTACTACGACTACTACTACTACGACTACTACTACTACTACTACTGCTGCTGCTACTACTGCTGCGACAACTACTACTACTACTACTACTACTACTACTACTGCTTGGCTCCTGCATGGCGCGTCGACTGACTGCATAGCAGGTGACAGTTGAGTATCGAAAGGTTGGACCTTACAGCGATGCGAAGCAAAACTACTGCTTTTGTTTCGCCGTTGTGTTGTTGCGCGTGCCGGGGTTTCTTGCTTCGCACGTACTACACACCCCTCAAACGCATGTCTTCCGTAATAGTGATGACGGAATACTACAGACAAGCATTCGGTCGGAAACATGTCTGTATGACAGAATCAAGGCATGTTCCACCCATATATTCCTTCTAGGAAAGATACGTCTTCTCAGCTCACCTCCACATCGCCCTACCTATACTACACTACTACTCCTGCTGCTACTACTACTACTACTACTACTACTATGTACGGGTGGAGTTTTATTTCGGTCCGTTTTTGTTGTTTTTGGTTCTTTTTGTTCTTATTTGGGCCCCCACGTCCTATTATTTACACAGGATGCCGGCTGAATGTGTCGCCCCATGTGGTGCCGTGCACAGTTTTGGCTGATTTGATTTCGATGTCTGAATGGTGCTTTGTTTCAAAAAGACTCATCTCAGGCATCGCGGGTTTCAAGAACGACTCCTATATAGGCTGTCATGCAACCTTGCGCGCGGCTTAAAACAGCGGGCCCCATTCGCAATCACGATGCTCGCATGGCTGGTTTACAACAAAATCATATGGGCGGCGGGGCGGGGGGGAGCCGGGGTTAAAGGGGGGCAGCCAGTCAGGATGCTCGCATGCTTGGTTTTAAACAAAACGCATATATGCTGTCATGCAAGCTTGGCACTCTCGCACATGCGGGACAGGCTTCCCATTTGCAAACACATATTTCGCAAGGTGAATGGCGTTGTTTCAAAAACGCACATATTATGCAGGGTGTGTTTCAGCAACGACCCCTATATGCTGTCACGCAAGCTTGCAGACGGCTTGAAACCGCGGTGGGGGTGGGGGCGGCAGCCCCCCCCCCCCGCCCACATTTGCAATCATGATGGTCGCGTGGTCGGTTAAAGCAAAAAAGAAACAG